ACCGAAGGAATTGGTTTGGTTTGGTTTTTGATAAAACCAACTAACCCGGTCCATGTACACCCCTAGTTAATAGTGCAAGGTGACGACACCTCACAGCCATTTTGAGGAAAATGGAAGAAATGGGAGAACGAGAACAAAGCACTTCAGGACCAAATGAGAGAAAACCAAAGAAAGGGTCGACAAGATACCAGGTGCCCCGAAGCCTTACCAAAAGAAAGAAGATTGGGGGCTGGTCGGTCGTCGAGCAACAATTACAGTGATGAAGCTGCCCCACATGCCATTACCAAAACCTTCAAAATACCGCTTTACCTGAAAAATATATGATGATACGATCGATCCCGAGGACCATTGTAACTCACTATGTTCATCGCTGTGAAAGGCAACGACCTCGCCAAGGAACAAGTATACTACATTTGTTGAAAAAATGCGACGAGACCCTCATTGGAGGAGCATTAACATGGTATTTTCAGCTCCCGCGCCATCTCCATTGAAACATTCAAAAAAGATAGCCGATAAGTTGTAACGGCCCACGTGGGGGCCAAAAATGCAGAGGCGAGAGGTGAAATAGATATATTCGCTATCAAACAATTACCGGAGAAGGTTGAGAGACTTCTCGCCCGATTCAACCGAGCAAGAATGACCTTACCAAACATATCAGAAGGAATGGCCGTTCGCAGCTTTCCAGAATGGCTAAACAGAAATGGTTCAAAGGCGACAAGAAAGTTGTTAAGCTAGATTATGAAGTACCCCCAACTACTTGGATGAAATACACAACGCCTAGAGCGCCCGGTTTAGAGCAGACGAGGATGACCTCAATGGGCCAACTCATGATTGACTTCAGTTACCAAGCCGATTCCAGGAAAGATCGAAGAAATGATACCAGAAGGGAATCTCGATAGCTCGACGACCCCAACCGAGAATGTCATCTATTATATGTCAAAAGCGTCATTCACCCCCTTCCCGCCATGAAAAAGGGCCCACCAGACCAAGGACAGGGACTCACCAGAACGAGGAGGTATGCCCCCTTTTTATCCGCTCACAATTTTTGTGTGTCACATTCAGAAATAGTCTACGCATTGGAGAAGCTCGGACCAAAGGTAAATTGGCCACAAAAGAGAGGTCAGATCCAACCACCAGAAAGTCAGATGCCTTTTGCGAGTTTCACCAAGAACGAGGGCAAAGAAACTGAGGACTGCATCGCCCTTAAGACAAAGAGGTCGTAAACATGGTTCGACAAGGAAGCCTCAAAGAATTAGCTGAGCCACCAGGAAGGAACCAACTTGACTAGAGACACGAACAGTGATTAGGGACCGCCAAAAAACCTCCCTCACCAATCCCGAACCATCTAAATGATCATCGGAGGCGGGCGACGATGCTTTATATAAAAAAACGTAAAGTTCACCACAACCCATTAAAGCTCAGCGTCGATCACTCACGAGCGGATATGGCAAACTCGAAGAAAGTATCATTCTTCGTTAAGTCAGATACCCACGGTTTAGTTTCCGCTCATAATATGCCCCCTGTTATCACTTTATTGAATTTTATATACAGACATAAAGATGCATTATTGGTAGACGACGGGTGTGCGCGCTGGCATTATCCACCCTCGTGGACTTGCACAAATGAAACTCGAGGAAAATAGTGCCACGTTGCATCACACTAAAACAAGTATTAACAATGCAGTTGAACGAACATCTGGAGAAATCACACTCCCCGTCTGGCTGCAGCGTCACTCTGGAAACCACATTCCTATCATGGACCAGGAACGACATATAACGCCATTAATATTGCGACCATCGGATCACGCCATGCGAGGCTCTCCCCTTCCTAGCATTATATTACCACGTCATTAAATTTTCCAACTCCATGGGGAATAATTCAGCATACGAGGAGAACAACACACATCTGCGATGCTACTCACCGCCCTGATGCATGGTCACTCAACAAATGAAGGGCATAAACAAAGGCGGCATAGCAATTGACAGGCCTAAGGTTCCGAATCTGTTAATGGAGAGAAGACGTCATCAGAGATCCATACAGGTAAAAGACACAAATCATCTCTCTCTTTTTTGGATTGGTTCGGTTTTGTCGGGTTTTTCGGGTTTTCGGATTTTTTTGTTACATGAATATTATTTCAATCTTACGTTATTAAAATTATAGATAAAGCTTTGATAAGTGAATATATGTTTAGTAAATATGGAAAAAATTAACAAACATATGATCTATTAAAATATTCTAATGGGAGAAATTTTTTAGTAACACATGATAGTTATTTTCTTAGCCGTCTAACAATAATTTTTCGTTAATTTACGCTTTCAAGGTTAATACATGAGAGGATCCCAAATATTTCTACATTTTCTAAAGAAAAATCACTACAAAGTCTTAAAAATATAAATAAAATTTATATATTTATATGTCGGTTTGGTTCGGTTTTTTTTACTCAATACCAAACCAAGTCAAACCAAACCTAGTCGGGTTTTTTAATCGGGTTTGGTTTTTCGGTTTGGTGCGGTTTTCTGGTTCGGTTTGAACACCCCTACTATTAACAGTGTTGTGAGTAATACCTGTCATCGAGGGAGGAAACGGTCCATGCTGCTCGCCCGTTGTTGGTGTAACACAAGTCCTTGCGTTTTCTATAATTGTATCTAGAGCGGGCTTGTGGAGGATGCTGGTTAGCGTGTCAGTTAACCAAGCCTCGAGGACCTTTTTTACTGCTAGTGGCGTCTCTTCCATCACGGACGTGGAAGCTCCTTTACCGCGGGATGTTGCGATACTGCCGTGAGGAAGAGGTGACCTACCTTGCCTGGGAGAGGCATTAGGTGTTATATCCTCACCTTTTGTTTCAGAAACCTCATTGATAAATTAAGATAAAGTCGGTGAGAAACTGAGAGTAATGCACATTTAATATTTCAAAAGATGTGTGCAATAATAGGGGAATATCAAGTAATAAATGGAATTTATATATATAAGTACAATGATTCGCCTAATACTGAATGAGGTGGATGATTCCTCCTTCTGACAATGATGAATGACAGACAAATCCTAGAATGTTAGAACTATTCTCGGATCCGATGAAAAAGTATGGAATAATATGAGTAAGAATCTTGATGAAAAGGTAAAGTTTGTATCTTTGCTAGAGAGAGAATCTTCTTCTCAAAAAGTATTTTTATCAAGTGAATATTACATATCCTACGCTATTGTCTCTTTTTCTATTCATATGAGTCATATCTCTAACAAATCCTAATAGTACAAGTGCAGAGAATATTCAATAGAATATTTTCTTTACGATCCTATTACAAAAACTAGCCGTTATTATTCTGTTCTTGGTGCTCGATCTCGATCGTTGTTGACAGCCCGGCCACGAATCTCACTGCTTCCTAGTCGACCTCGACCGATTCTTTCCTTAGTGCCGCTTTACACCAAATTTCCTTAGGGCAGATTTTGGCCTATACCGGTGCGTCTTACACGTGAATTTAAATAAATTTTTATTATTTATGATTAAAGATATGCATCTCTCATTTTTTGGAAATGAACGCACAATAAGGAGAAAATCAATCGCAAGTTTATTGAGCACGAAACATACTTTTTAACTAGTGTCATGGATTTTTGCATCATATATTTCAAATATATTATCTCCATGTCTGGTTGAGGTGTAACATGGAGGGTTGAAGGGATGGAAGTAAATTAATTTGAAATGGTAATTTTTATATTTACAATTTCTAACAGGGATTAGCAAAAATTATATTTGGTCGAATTAGTTACGAGGCTACCAAATTTCCATAACAATATCATTCATATTGTAACATTTTTTATCATCGTGTTTAAAATTGGCTAATTAAAAGAAAGATATCACTGCAATTGAGGTAAAGTAAACCTCCAATTTCTAAATCAAGGTATTTTTCATATAATAGGGTCCTTTTCATATAATAGTGTTAACCAAAGACGAAGCATCATAATTGACACTGGAATTACTTCTTCACAATCTATTGTCTTTCTTAAATCAGCATTTAAGTTAAGTATATTGATAGTACAAGATATATTTACATAATCAAATTACTTAAATTAATATTACAAATAAATTTTAAAAATAAATAACTTTTTATAATATATTAAATTACACCATAATTTGTGTACTAACTTAAACAATAATCAGACGAGAAAACCGAAGGACTACTACCAGACTACCAGTTGAGTTAACGGATCAAAATTCGGACCCAAAATCCGAGTGATTTTGGCCCGCCAATTCGAGTAATTAGGGCTCCTTGTCGTCCTTTCCCGCCCTGATAAACCTCCTCTTTCTTGCGACTTCTTTCTTCTTCCTCCTACTCGCGCGCCACAGGTAACAAATTTCTGTTCGTATTCAATATATTTTGTTTTCTCATTTACTTTCTATTCCGCTTATTTCTATTGCTGATCAGAGCTAAATCTCCCCTTCTGATTTATGATTTGCTTATACGTAGCAATCTGAATTCTTCATTCGTAGTTCAACTTTCGGTATAATTTATTGATGGATATGAAAGAGGAAGAATACTAACTGCGCAGAAGAATACTATATGTGTAGGACAAATTGGGGAAAACTAAAGAAAAAATAAAAGGTCGAATTTCATTACAAGTCTTGAGATTATTGTGAAGTTGTTTTTTATGTTTATGGAAGACACAATTGTGTAATTTCCTTGTCGCAGGCTCCTATTTTCCTTTACTGTTCCTTATTGCCAGTTTATTTTTAGTCGACCTCGCGAGCAAAACTGCTCTGTTCTCCTCCTCGCATTTTCCGTCTTTGATTGAAATCGAGCTGTAAGTTGTTCAAAAACCCTAATCCCTTTTTCTTCTAATGCATAGATTAAAAAAATTTGTCTTACTTAACTTTTCTTTTCTTTCGCTTATGGATTCGCATAGTTAGTCCTCGTCAATAATTTCAAAGGACACTGTTGATTATAATTCCATTTCATGTCATTTGTCCAACTGTAATTCTTGATTTCTACAGTTGAAATATTTTGTAAAGACTTACTGCTAGAATTAGTAAGAATTGAAAACCCTATTATGTTAACTTTTATACGGGTGGGACTTGATCATTTTCCAATGCTAACAGAAGCTTTGATTGAATTTGGGCTTTCAGAGTAGGATGTTCAGAAGGAAGCAAATGAGTATAACTGAAAGGAGCAACAGTATGATGCTATTTTTCTTGCTAGCTACACTGAATCAACCACTTCTACTTTTCTCTTTTATCCATTTAATATAGGGGGCAAGCTTATATGTTGATAAATGAAGTTACTCGACTTTATTTTTGTTCACTTTGTCTTGTGGCTTGGAGATCCAGATTTTTGGTTAAAGCTGATTCACTAATCTGAATCAATGAGCTTAAAATAATAACAGGACAAGGTTTACAACCCAAGACTCGCTTACCGTCAAAATATACGGATCATTTAGGAACATAATTTCATTTCCATGAAACGAGTTTCCTGCTGTCATTCATAAACACTGAATAGGTGGCGTTACGTGCCTTAATTGTAGTAAGTTAGCTTACAAACTAACCCAAAGGTGTGGCCTAGTGGTAAGTGAAGTGGGAGGAGAACCATGAGGTCTCAAGTTAAATCTCGGTGGAGGAAAAAGAGACTAGGTGAGTTCTTCCCATATGCCTAAGCGTGTTTGTGAGTAGAGTCACTTGATACTTATGCTGGTGGGAGGGAGAGTATCCGGTGGAATAATCGATGTGCACATAAGCTGGCCCCAACACCAACAAACAACAACAACAACAACCCAGTGTAATCCTACAAGTGGAGTCTGGGAGGGTAGGATGTACGCAGTCTCACCCCTACCTTGGAAGGGCTGAGAGACTATTTCCGATAGACCCTCGGCTAAAGAAAGGATGGAAGAAGCACTTATAGCAAGTAATATCAATACAAAGTATTTAGAAAACAAAACCCAAGAAAGTAAAAGAGAGTATGAAAGAAGCACTAATAGTCAATAATAACAGTACAAGATATGAAATGATAACAAACTAAGGGTGTACGGAAGGCAAGTAACAACAGTGCAAAATATGTGGTAATAGAAAACTAAGAATAAAAGGGATACCAAACTACACTAATACTATTGAACTAAGGAAGACACAGGGAAACGCTCGACTACCTACTAATCTTCTACCCTAATACTCAACCTCCACACCCTCCTATCAAGGGTCATGTCCTCGGTTAGCTCCAGCTGGCCCCAACACCATCGTCATAAAAAAAAAAGTTATCCTAAAACTGTTCAGCCATCTTCAAAATGAAAAACCAAAATGATGTTGTATGAGCGAATGCATTTCAAATTTAGGCTCTAATCTTTCTGAAACCTTTTTGTTTTTTCATTTATAAACAGGGTACTAGGCTAGGGTCCTGTAATGCGTGCCGAACAGCCAAAAGACTCAATGAAAGAGATGGACTGGAAAACTCTGGGTGGAACAGAAAGTAATGAATCTGGTATTGGACCAGCTGTGAAGAAACGGCTACCTAAAAAAATTCGACAAGTTCCTGAGTATTATTTTCTTCCACGAAGATCCTTACCATACAACATCGCCTTTTACGGGTCATTTATTGCTGCTGGTGTTGGTGCAGGAATGCTGCTTGAAGTATGGATCAACAAGAAGATAAAAGGTAATCACTTACTACTATAATTCGAAATAGACTGAATCGTGTATATGTCATCAGTTTCCAGTTTTAGTATTTGAGCATACGTCAGTAGCATGGAAAGCCTGAGCTCTGTTTGAAGGCAAATTATAAGGTGCTATTTGTCCATTCTTATTGATAGCATATAGAGTCTTTTAACGAGCCATCTTGGGGTTCCCAGAATACATGTGTTATGTTGTAATGCATATAATCCTTCTCTAGGTTATATCAAAATACTTGAGGATACTGCTCAATTATTCAGATTTGGCTGTTAATTTGTTTGGACGCCGTAAATGCTGTCTACTCTGTACTTCTCTTCTCGTCCAATTGAGAATGACTCACACCGACTATATGGAAATAATCTCCCTCAAAAAGCCCTTGTGGGGTGCCAAAGGCAAAAGTGTAAAATTAACAGCATATCCTGAACTCAGAGCAGTTCTCCAGGCACATCACCGTTGCATCAATTACACTCCAATTTTTCTCCCACAAAATCAGTAATCTTACTTCCAACAAGAAAGCATTAGGGCTTACTCTGATTGAGCATACCTCTGTTAACAAGTATTCAAAGAAAGTACTCCTAGTTATTATCATACTTTTAACTGTTTGATTACATTACGATCCGTCTTTCCCTGAAATGCGGTTATTGGTTCCTTGCTAGTTATTCTCCTGCCTTATGCTTTACTGCCCATCCATCATTCTACACGTTTTTGGTGATCCATGCTTGAATATTTGAGAACATTTGCTTACAAGTGTCTATCCTTGTCTAATAATCAAGGAAATCATATTTGTTAATGTTTTCCCCAGCAGCCAACTCCACTTATATGGCGTTTTAATTTAAAAAAACTGCCTGACAATAGTAGAGAAGACACTCAATTGGGTCCCATGGACACTCAGAAACCTTTTCTAGTGCAGCACATCATTTGTTTGATTTATCTTGTATTTTCCAATCATATGGGGTGCAGCCCTTCCCTGAACATGTGAACGTGGAATCTTTTTGCACCGTGCTGCCCTTTACAGTAATTTTCTCTTTTCCTCTATTTGTTGGTTTGTCTTTAAGTTGATTTGCTCTCTGATCGCAGAGGATGGAGGAGTCATTTGGGAGTTTGACAAATGAATGCTGGATTTTTCCTCAGCAGTTTCTACTCTTAACCTTTTCAAATGCTCTTTCGTGCAAAGGAGTAAACGTGGTTCGGACAAGCTGAATTTTGAATCCATTAGTACATGATTATTAATCTTTCTTTTGCATTCAAACCAATTTTGTAACAATATATTTCAGGAGAGATGATGAGCTTAATTGAAGCAGCACGTTCAGTGAAGAAGCTTAGTATTGTTGTGTATTTCAGGGGAATTGTGTCGGAATTTGCAAATTCTACTGAAACATTAAGTTATATAACGCCATAATGGCTTAATATTTGAAAATAGAGACATCAGGTAAATGGCCGTGTTATTTGTACATTATATCCCTTTACAATTTTAAATTTAAGAGAATGGCCTTCTTAAATTTTTATATGTAAAAAACAGATCTCTTACGTGTTTACGTGTAAAAGTTTATAAAGGGCCAAAAAACTAATTGACCTGCAAATGGCCTAACCTAAGAATTCTACTTCTTCTGCTTTTACTGAACAATGGATAGTAATATTACCTGTGGATAGTGGATTAATCGAACATTAATGTAATCAATAGAGGTTTCCTTGCCAAATTTTATGTTTTTAACGACTACAACTGTTCATTCTTTTCCCTTTATTTTTTTTCTGCTACAATATTATTTAAAGAGGCCACGCGGCAAATACTGATCTTGAAGGAAATGGTAACTTCATGCTCCGTCTGTCTCGTTTGATAAATGATATTCGGGTACGCGAGTCTGATTTTAGTGTCAATTCGAACATCAACTTTGAAATTATATATTATAATATATTATATTTAAACATTACATATAAAACGAAACACTAGTCCACAAAACAACATTTTTTGAACTGCATACAACGTATTTAGAAATTACATAAAAACACAATTAAGATAATTGGGTTTGCTTTTTTCCATATAATAATAGTTTCCTCTTTATTCTCTTTTGGAGGGAGGTGGTATGCAACATATGTTGAATAGTAGTAGTTATTATGACTAGTTATTATCTTCGAGAAAGATATTCCCATCTTACTAGTATCCTTTTCAATTTTCATGCTAAAATTGGAGTCGTTTTTGAACCGATGCCAAAATAGCCGGTCTCATCTACCATGTTGGGGTTGAGGGTTTAGAATCAATATAATAGATCAAGGTGAATAAGTTGCCAAAAGTGATTCCTATCACGTGCTTACATGTAATGATTAGCAAAAGAGAACAATAGACTGAAAGCTATTACTACTAGTCTACTGATCCTAACACTACTTCCCTTTCCAAACAACTGATGATTCCTATTCAATGTAGTTCCTAATTTCTCACTCATCTACGGGTTTTCCCTTTACTCCTGTAGGCTATACTAATCACTTTCTTTCCAAAAAAAGAAAAAAAAGGATCAGTTTAATTTCCAAATTTGAGCACCTGGGGAATGGTCTGGCTTAAGAGAACATGCCGGAGTAAAACAGCGTTTGGCGGTACAAAGCGTCCCTCTGAGCAATTTTCCTGAGCTGAAGCAGCTGTTCAGCCGAGTAAACACAGCAGCCTTTGGAGTACAGATACGTCTGAGCCACAGGCGAGTTCAGTACCACCTGTAAAAGCTGCTGCCTATTCAGCCTCGCCAATGGCCCATAAAAGCTATTCGCCTTCACTTCGTTCACATAGCTGGATTTTCCATTTCTGTCCTCGGAACCAGAGGAAGACGACGAAGCACCTCCTTCTACCAGCACAGGCATGCTCTGTAACACTCTAACCTGCGCCTGTAGGAACTTGACGTATTTGTACGCCTCTCCTAGCATTGTCGCCGTATCCATTTTTTTGTCCCATGGCAACAGCTTCTCCAGAGATCGTGTTTTCTCGCTTAGCTTCTGTCTTCGTATTCGAGTTGTAGATGAACCATAAGCAGACTGCTTGCAGCTTTTTGGCATGGTACTGAGCTGGTTACTCATTAGTACTTGTGAATTAACAGACACCGGTTCGACGCCGTTTACAGTGGACGATGAGTCACCGAGGTGAAAATCCAAATAGTTTGGCATTTCGAGGCAACGGAGATCTGGAAGACGGCCGTAGCCTAAGCCGCTGTCGTCGGAGATACCGTTGGAGAAGTAGTTGAACGGCGGCTCATTCAAAAATATCTCGTTGTTACTGTACGGATACAACTGAAGATTATCCGTTACTGGTTCCAGCTTCGGTAATTTCAGCTTTTGATCAGCATCGAGAATATTCTCCGTCTCCTTAACCCATGGAAAATCTCGAGTAGTAGAGAAATCAAAAGCCGCCGAACTTTGCTGCATTTGAGAAGCAGCAGCGGCGTATGGCATATCCTTTGCGAGAGAAGGTTGAAAATATGAAAGTGAGAGAGGCTTCACTTCTTCGCCGTGATTGTAGTGGTCGAGGCTCAAACTCAAAACGGACTGATAGCTCAGGCCGTTGTACAAGCCATTGATGAAGGCTTCATCAGACGCCATAAGTGGCAGAAGCGCTTCTCCGGCATTGAACTCCGGTTGAAGTAGAGGTTTTCTCTCCATAGCTCACAGAAAACACGCACACAACAAACTTACACGCACACAACAAACTTACACGCACACAACAAACTTACACGGGGGGAAACGAAAGAGATGATTCTATAAAATGATAGTATCTGTGATTCTGCATCTATATATTTTTGCTGAGAGGGTTTAAGGGACACGTGGCGGGAGAGAAATAGAGGTATATAACCGACAAGTAGCTGTGATTACTGTTGAGTCTCTCTCTAATTGTACTATGCCGTTTCATTTGAATTTCTTTTCTTTTTACAATTGTTTGGCGGGTTATTTATTGGCCGTTAGATGGACTTTGATCCAACGGTGGAAATGAAGGCCTGCGGTTGGCTCGTGCCATAGTATGGGAAAACCCTCATCCGATGTTAGCTCATCTGGATAAGGACAAGAAAGAAAGGGATTTTGTTCACAGAAGTGGAGGGTTAAAATATATATTGAAGTAAACAGAAAAAAGGAAAAGGAATGATTATGTTGGGATTCGGGTACACGTCACTGTAGAAAGTACTGTTTAACAGGACCTGGATCTGGCAAATACGATTTCTGACGACTGGACACTATAAAAATTAGCGTTATCCTTGTGAGCTGTGTACGTGGGTTGGGAGGAGGGGGGGGGGGTGAGGTTTTGGGTCTATGCCACCTTTTAAGAGATTTTAGCAAGAATTGACAAAAAATTTTAACACAAAAGAACCAAATTATTTCACCTAAAAGGATAACATACAGCTTACCCATAGGGGTTAGTAATTAGTATGAAGTTGAGTGGATTCTCTTCGTTTGTGTCACTTACCCACGTAGCTTACACTAAAATATACACGTCCAGCAGACAACAAAGTTGATTTAGCCATTTCCATCTAATTAAAGATTAGGAACTAACTCATTCACTAATTTTCATTTCCACATAATGAATTACATGTTACAAAACTGCTCAAGAATGAAAGACGAATAAAACTATACATAAGAATCAAGTGAGGAAAAAACATAAGAAATCAGGGACTCCAAGCTATCACCTATTCCCCATTCCAATAGGAAGAGGAGTTGATACTAACAAGTCGAACACTTTTCTCTAAGGAATCAGTATCCTACACAACAGGCATTCTAATGCTGCTCTCCTGATGCCTGCAAAATTTCATCTATCCCACATGGCCTGAAAGATTGCAGGTCTATGCTTCAGCCAATGTACCATTTCCCTTTCTAGTGGAGCCTTGTTTAAAAAAGCATCCATCATAGGACTGCCAAATACTTTGGGACTACTCTTATATGACCATATCCGGTCTTTTGGCCATGGTCTCTGGGGCTGCTTCTCCTGGCAAAAGAATATAACTCGCGTTAAGTGGAAGCAACCTAGTATAATAATTGAACTGTTGAAATGACTGAAGCTACACTTCAAGCATATCATTTCCACTTAAAAGCAAGTAGCATAACTTCCTACTAATAACAAATATTCACTGGTTGCTTCATGTTGCCTACTAAATTTAGGTTGCATGCTAGACTTTTGCCGAGATAAACAATGAGAGACTTTGGTAAGAAAATTCACACCAAGAAAGAAGAGCAAAACCTAAAACAGCATAGCAACCAACAACCAGGACACACTGATATTCTAGAGTACTCCAAAAGGATGTTAGGCATATTATGATCAGAAGGCATTCACCTACTAAAACATATACGTCTAGCTGTCCGTTTCTTTTGCATTTTTCTTCTGGCATATCCACCCGTAGGTTTCTTAGCAATACACAATACACAAAATAGAGAGGATGCTCTGCTGAAATTAATATAAAGCTTACCATTCTAGATAACATGAACTTCACAGTCCTTGGGCCGTAAACACGTTGGCGGGACGGCTTCTGGACTTTAGCATAAAAAGAGCCAGCTTCAGGTAAAGACAAGCAACCCCTGCTCGCCCTGAAAAGGCAATTATCTGGATCTGCATTTGCTTGGTTATACCAATAAATCAGCTGTCCTAAGCAATAGTTCTCGCCATATGTCTTGCGATACTCGTGAACACCAGGCCCCAGCTTATCAGCATATTTGGGTCCCAGGTCTAAAGGACTTATATATACAGGAGGTGAAGTTACAGTCTTGTATTCCTGCAAAGAGAGAAGATATACAGGTCAAAACCAACACAATGTCCAGTGAAGATGATATGCAAAAGAAGTTCCGATAGGATAAAGCACATACTCGTATTCTAAAAAAACACTTTGTGTAAGCATATAAATGAATCAAGTCAGCAGCAGCGTCATGTCGACATTTGTATGTACATGGAAGATCTCGGACCTCATCTCTTAACCTAGAACAAGAAACAGCAAGTCAAGAAAATTGTTTTTTGATAAAAAGTACATAGCTAGGATACCATGGTTGACACCACTCACCATATTAAAGATTTTCGAAGGCCCGTCTCAAGATCATCCGACCTGGATGGATCATGAGCTCGAATCTTGGCCTTGAGATCACTTAGCATACTATCTTCCAAATGAGGAGCCACGCATTGAAGAAGCTCCTCAACAAGAGACCCCTCTCCTCTCCAGATAAAAGAAACAGCTTCTTCCGAACTGAGCCTCTCAAGAGGAGGGGGAGCTTTTTCCGGGTCACCGAAAACGCATCTCATTACATAACGCACCTGCCAAAGCACCCAGCAACTCTTAGATTTCACTCGGCCATTCTCTAAACAAGAAAAATAGACTTGGTCAAAAAGGAGAAAGACAAACCTTGTCAAGTGTCAGAGCCAAGTTCTGAAGCCTTTGGTTGTAAACACCCTCAGCCTGTATCATTCAAGAAAGATTATACAAAGAAAAGAAACCTTCGCACGTGCAGATGGAGAAGGGAATATAAACCAAGTATAAAACTCCAGCTGACAGCATCCTTACCTGAATCTCAGATTCGTTCTTCTCTACTTCCAAACAAATATCTGAAAAGTATTTCTTCTTCTCTTCTAAATTATGCTTAAGTATCTCATCAGGAAGTTTCGTCCTCTCAAAATTGATAAATCTCACCTTCAACAACAATAGATAATTCAGAAAATGCACAGAGATGATACAATGGTAATCCATAGTCAATTCGGAGCAAAAGCATACCAAACGAGCTGAATAAGCAATCAACCAATTTGGCAAACCAGCAAGCAAACAACTTCCAAGTCCAGCTTTACCAAGATCAATGTAATCTTCTTCAGAAACTGAATTCACTTCACATGCCTCTAGCATCAGCTGGTGTCGGTCAAGTAACCCATGGTACTCCTGGAGCACCTACAGACAGACAAGAAGTGGCACTGCTGAAAAGGCATGAAAAACTGAATCCAACAAATGTGATAGCACTGGAACAACAGGCGTCGATCATAATGATTAAAGCAAACAACGTTAAGCACAAAAAGTGAAAATTCTAAACCACCAAAAACCTCAGTAAGAGCTTAAGGAGCTGCCTAGACCGAGATAGTTCATTAAAATTAAGATGGAGAATGTACCTTCAGGAAGGCCCCTTCGCCTGTAAGATTCAGGTAACTTCCACGGCAGACCTGGCTGCCGCATAAACAGACGGAAGCTTCATACTCTTCTTTACTCTGTAGCATGAAACATCATCATTTAACACAAATTATCCACAAAAGAGAAAAGAAAAAGGCTCTACCTTCAAGCTAAACAGATCCTTAACACATTCTAAAAACTCACCTCTGTAACAGAGTTGTAATCAAAAGTGACCTCTTCACCATATGCAATTGGACGTACACTATAAATTCCAATCTGATACTGACCATCAACAGCTGTTACTCTGCTCACAAAAAGGTACATAAGTATCACTACAGTACGGGGAAATAAAGAGGGATAATACATAAAACACATATATACACACACAACACCTCTTAAGGGAAACCATAATACTAGAGCGAAGGACAAAACTTACTTTGCTTCACAATTAGGTCTGCAAGAGTGACAAATTCGACTAGCATAGTTTGCTTTGTGCATTGCATCAACAACAACTAGATCATACCCATCAGCATCACCCTAACAAGAGAAATTATTAATAGGGTTAGAGAAAAACGTTTGAAGATAAAAAGAGAAAAGAATAAACCCTCCATATCAACCAATGATACCTTTGGCCTCTCAAGATATATATTGTAAAATTCTGGTGCAGGATCATTGTTATTCCTCTGCAAGGAGCGAATTCCATCTTGCTTTTCAAACCACTTCCAAGCAGGATAAACCTGTATGTCTCGTTAAGAGAGATGAATTCAGGTCATCTTTCAGAATGTATGATCACTTCTCAAAGCATCATTAAGTAAAAGGATATTCAGAAAAGCTGGAGGAATGTGTAGGTATAAATATAATCAAGAATTAAACATTTTGTTCTTACCTCCCCCAAGAATTCGACGACAAAATCCTCCTCACTGAAGCCACCTTCTTTGTTGCACACAACCCCAAGACCCTGACGGACACATCCATCAAATGTTGGAAGAAAGGATGAGCATTTAGTAAAAGGCCCAAAATGTAAAAATGATAACTACTAGTAATTGTTATCCTCACCTTTCTATAGGCAACATAATTGTCCTCCGCACGAGTATCAATGGCCTTCAGGATGAATTGGCATAACCGTACAGTTCTCTTGTCCTGATTTTCGTCTGCACTTTCCAGAATCTCTTCGAAAACAGGCTTCAGAGGATACATCATTGGTGTGTGACTGCCAGTGAAGCGCCTAACTTGCTTGTTAAGAGTACGAAGGAGCACATCTTCAATAAACAAATGCTTGTCCAGGAGAGACCAATCCGATTCATCTGGCATGGAATCGAGAAGAAGATTATGAGTGTATGGATCAATACCATAGACTTCCTGCTCAATCACCTCATCTCCAAGCATTTTCCTTGGTTTATAATCCTTCACTTCAGGAATTTCCATATCAGACTCCTCAGTGCCATTCTTCTGTGCACTAAGCTTCTCAGCATAATCCTCCGGCAAAGAAACCAGCATCTTTCTTTTCACTTCTTTCTCATCGGCGACAATAACATAATGATCAATGACTTCATATTTCCTTGTTACCGGAGGAACCAGGCTGGCCTTTGTCATGCGAGCACCCCATTCGCGATCATCAGCCAAAGAATCAAACCCATCATCTGGAGTGAAATAAGTTTCTTTTGATTCTGCAGTTCCACATTCTGATCTTAAATCCAAGTCACTTTCTGTCTCTGAAGCAGTACTCTCGCTATCACTTGTGGTATCACCAGAAGATCTGCCAAGATCATCAGATGTTTCG